TTAGAGTCACGGAATCTTAAAACCGGGAGGTCATCTGGTCCACACTCAGCACTGTGTATGTAGACACTGATGTCTGGGAGAAGGTAAGGGACTTAATCTGTGGGCACTTAAGTAGCAGTAGTTTTGTGATTACAACTCAGGTCTCACCGAAAAAAAACAATCAATCGCAGATTTGATAAATTACGGTAACATACACAATAGATGGTGTTACAACATAAGATAATGTTTTATGTTCAGATGTGAGCAGATGTCCAGAAATCAATTAAAATATGTATTGAGTTACGTTAAGTGAAAAAGAACCAAGTTGCACAACAGATGCGTTAACCTGATTTCCCCCAAAATATACACTTTTAGTAAGTAAACATGCACCTGTGTGCTGGCTGGAGCGATGTAGTTATAGCCAAAGATGTTTACCTTTGGTTTTCTCTGCAGGGTTGAATTCTCTATTTTTTTACGTTTCTGTTACTATTGAAAACTTTTTATACCATTTTACCATTTTTGCAACAAGAAAAAATAATTCAGGTTTGTAAAAGAAAAAGAAAAAACCCAGAAGACAGAACCTACCCAAGTCTCCTGTTTCTCCACTCTTCTCTTCAAAAACGTACCAGGTGACCCCTGCCGAGGGGACAAGAGCAATGACAGAGCTGGACTGGTGGGGGAGGGGTCTCATCTGCCACATCAGTTACTACTCTTCATCTCTTTGGAAGTCGGGAGACCAGAGTGCTCTGAGCCACGGGCTTAGAAGGCCAGGGTGGACAGACACATGTTCCAGAAACAACCAGCAATCTGAGAGGCAACCTATGACTTAAACCTCTGGCCTTCCACAAACATTTATATTTTCCCATGCCTCAGTTTCCTTATACACATTTTCTGGTGTGGAGGGTCCTGGTGAGAAAGAAACTATAAAAACAACGCGTATCGTCCCAGGCCAGAGAGGCCCCATCACCAGCACTAAATAAACTCCAAGGTGGCTGTGAAAACTGCAAGGCGGTTTTATGGGGACAGTCAGCAGGCTAAGTGCATCTCAGGCAGGCACAAGAAAGCTATTTACAGCCTGAGAAGGCCCCTCTGGCTCCTTCCAGAAACCTGATTACTCTGTTTATGACGACTCAGGCGGCCAAGGATAAAGTGCCTTTGCCCTGTCAAATGGCAGAAGCTTAAGTGAAAGTGAACACCCCTCTCCTGGGACCCTGGGGTCGGAGGGGAGGGGCTGGAGACAACAACAAATCACCCACCCTCAGCAAACATAGTACACAACTGTCACTTCAGTGCCCCATCTCTGTCCGAAATGAACATGGACATGAAAGGCCCACATTCCCACCGAGCTGAGACAAGTGTAAATTCAGCCAAGCTTGGGTGCGGGGGAGGGGGGGGTCTTGTCGCTGTTTTGAATCTCGTGGCAGTTCCGTTACTTTCCGAAGGCTTATTCCCGGAGCCCCATGTGGCTGTGTTCTCCTGCTTAAAAAGAGGCAGCTTTGGAGAAAAGGACTGCTCTTTGCTTCACAAACAATAGTGATACCACAATGGTGGAGTCCTGGCTGTTCCTGCTTCTACTCCACAAAACGTGCTTCTGAAAAGATTCACGTAAGTGGAATCAGGCAGAAAAAACCCTGGCACTGGACTGGAAAACACTTCTGGAGGAAAACACATCAAAGCCTTTACGGGTTCTCTGTGGGAGCTGAGAAGGGGTGGAAATGGGAAGAATTTTACTGTCCTCATTAAATATTTCTTCTGTTGAATTTTCACAAAAAGCATAAATCATGTAAGCAGGAAAGCACTAGACACGTACATGCAAAAGGAGCTCGCTGAGCACTCACTGGAGCCTGGAAAAGCATCCTTTGATTACAGAGTAACCACTCCTTGATGTAACTGCTTCTCTTTGGAAGTCAATATTTGTAGGCAGGGGAAAAAAAATCAATAATTTTTCTGAGAGACTCTCCTGCTACTAAAAGAGCCTCACAGAGCAACTTTCAGTAGCAGGTTAGTCAGCCTTTCATTTCTTGGCTTGTCTCCAAAGGTCAGTATTTTTGGATTTCAGGTTTTGCTAAAAAGACATGCCTACATTTGATTCCATTTGTCAGGAATGGCAACAAGAGGACCAGACGCCAACAGAGGGATGTGAACGTCTAGCCACTCACTGATGATGCAAGGACTGGCAGGGGGCAAACTCTGTCCTTGTCCCCTGGGTGCCCTCAGAAGCTCATGTGACCAACCTTTTTGCACAACTTATAACGATAAAACCAGTCAGATGATGCCGCTTCCCCTCCACCGGGTGTACAGAACTGCCTCCACACGTCTGAGTTCATCTTGGGAGACACTGTCACGGTGCCGAAGAATTCGGCTGCCGGGCTGACGGCCTCTTCACCTTCTGCTCCATGTTCGATGCTGGCCGAGGCCCAAGAAGGCCTCATCACCTCGAGGCAGCCTTGGAGCCTGCTAAGCAGCTTGTGGGGCGGGAGTCGGGAGAGCGGGGTGCTTACCAGGGAGAGAATCATCCCAAGGAAGAGAACTCGGGGACCCTCAAAGAGCGGCAGGAGGGCCTAGTGGTTAAAAGCGAGGCTTCCAGAGCCGGGTTGCACGGGTTCAAATCCAATGCTGCCCTTTACCCGCTGTGTGACCTTAGGCAAGGGACTTCGTCTCCCCATGCCTGAGTTTCCCCACCTCACAGGGCGGTCTGGAGGATTAAACGAGCTAATATGTGCAAAGATGCTAAGCACGTGCTGAGCACTATATAAATGTTAGCGATCATGATCGTCATCCAGCAGCGTCTGGGCTCTCCATCACCTCCTGCCGCTCCCAGTGCAGGAAGAAAAACGTTTCTTATGTTGCTTCTCGGGCTCAAGCCAGATGAAAGCCCCATCTCTAGGCATCTGAAGGAATCTGTACTCACACACGATCATGAGTCAGCAGATTGCTTGTGCCTGCCCTGCGCCTAAGTAAAGCGCTGTGGTGGGAATCCCGCAACATCTCTCAGGCGGAGCAGATACGACCACAAGATTCCTAGACAGATTTGCACACGAGGGACACTGATACTGAGACCTGCCCCCAAATCACACAACTAGCAGCCAGAGGTAACTTTAGGATAGTTAAACCCCGTAACAAGTAAAAGGGACTTGTTACCTGATAACAGCCATTATTATTACTTCTTATGCAGTGCACAGTCATTATCACAGTCATTACCACATACTCGGCTCATTTGATCCCCTCAAGGGCAGGACAACGCTGATCTAGCCTGAGTCCCTCTCCTACCCTCCAGCTCTGACCATCGAATCAGGAGACTGTGCTCAAATGGCCACATACGAAGTCCCAAGATCAGAGCGGTATCATCAGAAGGATCACAAGCCAAGTGAAAACCCAGTTATTTATTTGACCTTCAAAAGTCATTATTAGGGGAGTATTTTCCGCATTTAAGGAAAAGGAGCCTTAGACAAGTAAAGTGACTTGAACAAGGCCACGCAGCCGGGGGACTCTAGAACTGGGACTTGAACGTAGGTGCCTTGCCTCCCTAAGGAAAGGGCCTCTGGTTCACTGGTCAGTGCCGGAGGATGGGGTCGAGGCACAGACAGACGTAGTGTCGTCCCACCCTTGCCTCTCCTCACCCTCCCAGACCCCTCTCCTTCATAAAGGGGCTCAGTTGACAAGAGCTCTCTTTCCTGTGCCCAGACCCCTGGTCCACCTGCCACCCAGCCCTGCCCCCCCACCCCCCCGTCTGGGTCACAGCCCCCTCCCGTTCATGCTGGGAGCTCAGAGCAGGTTATGGGCAAGAGAGCTGCCTTCCTGGTCCACAGTGTGGGAACAGGCCCTGGGGTAGGGGTGGGGCTGGAGCCGCCTGCACCCCCTCAGACACCAGGTCATGTAATCAGGCGTCTGACTCAAAAGCAAACAACAGGCTCACTGAACCAACCACTCTGCTCCCCTGGAACTGACCCAGAGTTGCCACGGACCAGGCGTGGCTCTCAGCCTGAAGTGTGCAGAGAGGGAAACCACAAAATTCTCTTACACACAGGCTTGCAGACAGGAGCTCCATCCTGAAGCACTTCTCCCCTAAACATAAATAAATAGACATAAAGAAATAGAAATCTCGCCCCAGGCAGGCCTCCCTTCTCATCTCCTCGCCTCCCTATTCACTCGGCCCCCAGGGCCTAAAACCTACACTTCTGGGCTTGCTCTTCTGAAGTTTTGCTTGAATGCCCCAACAAGTGAAGGGATGGCACGTGGAGGCCTGCTCTCCTGAGCTCAAGAAGAGAGAAAGAGGCTGCAGCTGCTCACCTCACGAACTTTACAAAATACAGGCGTGGACAGAAACACCCAGACACGCGCCCTCTAGCAGGGTTCGGCCAAACGCAGTTTGCTCGACAGCTGGTTCTGCATCTCTCACCCACTTCCACGTGTTTCCAGGGGAAGCGGTAGCTCCCGTGGGATGAGGCTACGGTGGGAAAACCGAGCGGGGAGAGGAAGTGGTCACAATCAGTGGGAAAAGGAGGGATAAAACTTAAGAGCTTTGGGGGACCAAAGTGCACGTTGTAGACAGGAAAGGACACAACACAACTAAAAAGGAAGCATTCTGCAGATGTCACCATTTTCCCAAGGGGCCAACAATACCCTTACGGCATGGTCCGTCCTTTTCAAACACATTTTCTCTTTCTGTTCAAGTTTCAGAATTACCCACTCAGAGGAAATGGTCCACTTCAATAAAATGGCAAAGTCTTAGAAAACACATACATACACACACAGACTTATTTTATTTTAAATGAGTGCCGAATGCCAGAAAGTCTTTATGTGCTTTCAATGTTAAGAAGTTGTCAGCTTTTCCACCTGTGTTTCCACAGCGGCTGGACTGAACTAAACAGCGCTGGGCCTCTCTGCTTCCTGGCACTGCCCCGAGCCACACCTGCACACTTGGTCCCAACCTTTCCCGCAGCTCTACACCCAGGCAGAGCTGGTGTGTTCAATGCTTTGATGACGACAAAGGACAATGGAGAAAATGCTTCTGTACTCACATTTGTCCCCGGGGAGGCGGAAGGGAATGCGGGATTTGATTGAGTAAATGACCTTGCAGGAATGGCCACATATGACGTCCCGAGATTTGAGGTGTAATCTAAACGGTAAATGACACAAAACTGGGTGAAAACCTAGTCATTCCCTTGACTTTCAAAAGTCATTATGAGGACAGAAGTGGGACAAGAAAAAGGAAAATCCTTTTAACATACGGATTAGTGACTGGGGTGATTATACTTCTGGGTATGTTGATAACCAGCAAAGCTTTACATCTAAAACACGTAGAAAATGTCGAAGAGCCCAGCTAGCCGGCCCAATGCATTTTAGTGTCTTGGGATCTGTTTGCTTTATAGGTGCCTAAAAGGGCACATCAGGGATGTCTGGTTATTAAAATGGGGTGTGAGAAGCCTTTGGGAAGCTGATTTCTGCTTCAAGCTGCTGACCCGGGGGACCCTCCTCACCTTCGTTCCCAGCAGGGTTGTAAACGGCTGTGCTGCTGGGAGAGGCACATAGCGTTCCCTCTGCCGAACTGAGTGCACACCGGACACCAGCACTGGAGCGGGTGGAAGAGGGGAGCCAGTTACTCAATGAGTTAAACCAAGAATTACCATGTGACCCTGAAATGCCACTCCAAAACAGTAGAAAATAAATGTTCAAACAAACACTTGTATACAGACATTCACAGCTGCCCTATTCACAATAGCTGAGAGGTAGAAATGCCCAAATATATCAAAAGATGTATGGCTAAACAAAATGTTTTATATATACATGAATATTATTCAGCCATAAAAAGAATGCATAAACAACAAGGTACAGCACAGGGAACTATATTCAAATCCTGTAATAAACCATAGTGGAAAAGAACATGAAAAAGAATATATATATATATATATATATATACACACACATACACACACACACACATATTATATATATATAACCAAATCATCATGCTGTACACCAGAAACTAACACAACATTGTAAATCAACTATACTTCAATTTAAAAAAATTATATGCTACAATGTGAGTGAACCTTGAAAATACTATGCTAAGTGAAAAAAGCCAGTTGGAAAAGGTCACATATTACCTGATTCTTTATGTATAAAATGTTTAGAAGAAGCAAATCCATGGAGACAGAAAGCAGATTAGTGGTTGCCAGGGGTTGGGGGATGGGGGGAGTGGGGAGTGCCTGAGAAACGGTTATGGGGTTTCCCCTGAGGGTGATGAAAATGTTCTAGATGGAGAGAGTGGTAGGATTTGCACAACTTTGTGAATGTGCTGAATACCATTGAATTGTACACTTTAAAATGATCAGCATGGTGAGTCATGTGAATTTTACCATAATTAAAAAACTGGGGAACCAGAGAAGAAACACCTTTTAAAAATCATTTTTTAAACTATGGTATAATACACATAACATAAACTTTTCTATCATAACCATTTTTAACTGTACAGTCCAACAGCATTAAGTACATTCACATCGTTTGGCAACCGTCACCACCATCCATCTCCAGAAGAAATTCTTCCACGTTGTAAAACTGAAATTCTGTCCCCATTAAACACTAAGTCCCCAGCCCCGCTCCCCCAGCCCCTGGCAGCCCCCATTCTACTTTGTCTCCATGAACCTGACTACTCTCTACATCTCCTCTAAGTGGAATCATACAGCATTTGTCCTTTTGTGACTGGCTTATCTCACTTAGCATACCGTCCTCAAGGTTCACCCATGTTGTAAACTGTGTCAGAAATTCCTTCCTCTTTAAGGCTGAATAATATTCCATTGTAAGTATAGACCACATATATTTATCTATTCATCTGGCCTGGACATTTGAGTTGTTTTCCATATTTTGGTTTTTGTGAATAAGAAAGGGAAGCCTTTTGAATGCAATCATTTCAAAACACTTAACCCCGTCCTCTGTTCCACATCCCTGGGCCAAGGGTCCTCTTTTCTGTGTATGTATCTGCAGCCCCTCCTCACTGTCTCCAGGTGTCTCCCTTTGCCCCACCCCCATCTATTCTCAGCACAGCAGCCAGGGTCCCAACCAGTGAAGCCAGAGAACATCCCACTTTGCTCAGCCCTCCAGGCTCCAGCCACAATCAAATCAAAAGTGAAAGTCCTCTCAACAAACTGGAGTGCTCAGCGTGGGGCCCTGACAGTTCCCTGGCTCCTCCCCCAAGCACTCCGTGCTGCTCACACTGTCACTGCCTGAGCATCCCGGACCATGCCAGGGCCTTCAAACATGCGGTTTTTCTGCCGGGAGTGCATGTCCCCCAGATGGTCACAGTTCACTCCACCCACTCCTGGGTGTCCTCAGTGAGGCCTCCCGCCACGAGTCCCTGTGAGAAAACACACACTCACACACACACACACACACACACACACACTTCCTGCCTCTGCCCTGATGCTGTTTTCTGCTTAGCATGTACCACCAGGGATGTTCTGTAATTCACTGGTTTATCATCTGACACCCCCCCTACCATGAAGTGTAAGCTATTTGAGAACAGGGATTTGCCTGTTTTGTTCTCTGCTGTTTCCCTAGCACCGAGAACAGGGCAGGCACACTGTAGGTGCTTAATGAATGTTTATCGAGCATGTGCATGAGCTTGTCCTCCTGGACAGCACTTACTTTTCAGAGAAGAGCAGGCATTTCTGAGCATGTAGTTTCCCTTTTACATGCAGCTCCCAGTCCTAGGCCAGAAGGAAAGAAAAATGACCGAAGTAGAACTGAAACCTCAGGAAGGCAGGGGTAGTGCGGGCTTTCCCCGTGAGGCAGGGAGCTCAGAGCGCCCAGGTGCTGGACCGGCCCTACAGACACATCTCCCTCCGCTCCTCCTCTCCCTCCCAAACTCCTCCCCGGCTCCTGCCTCCCTGTCCAGCCTTACTCCATCAGCCCCCACCTGCACACCCCGGGCCTGTCTTGGACAGGAGCCCTGGTTCACAAGTCTCAGTGGGCCCTTGGTCCCACTGCCTTTCCATACATTCCCATTTCCACAGGTTAATCTGGCAGGTGGACTCCCAGTGAGTTGCAAAGCCTTAGAAAAGGCTTATGAGAGACTAAATCCTCCAGCATCTCCCATGTCAGTCAGTCCTCTCCTGAGACAGGAGGGTGAGAGGGTGTGTCCCATCCAAGCAACAGGGATGAGTTTGCACAACATGACCCAAGTAGAGGTGAATGACACACTGCAGCGTGATGCCCCCTAAACAGGAATTACTGTACTCTGCAGACAGGATGGGAGACAAGAGGCAGCACAGCCCAGAGTCTGAGAGGCACAGGCTCTGGGAGGGCCAGACCCACATGTGAATCTCCACTGTCACTATCTAGCTGTGGGGCCCTGGACAAGCCATTTCATCTCTCTAGGCCTCAGTCTTTGCATCCGTAAAATGCATCTAATTCCTGAGTCCCTCTTCTGTAACCCAGGTGGGGTCACAATCCACCACTCACCTCAGCCATCTCATCTATAAAAGAATCTTTTACTTGCCTTAAAGCAAGGGACTGGCCCTGATACACTTCTGAAGTTCTTTTGGGTTCTAATTAATTGAGGGTGGGGTAGGTAATTAGGTTTTTTTTTTAATGGAGGTGCTGGGGGTTGAACCCAGGACCTCGTGCATGCTAAGCATGCGCTCTACCACTGACCTATACCCTCCTCCCTCTTTTTGGTTCTAATACCTAGGATTTTGACCAAAGGTACTGATGACAAAATTCTGTTACCCAATCCCCAAACAGAATAGTTCCTCGCGTGAACTGCCGAGCGTTGGATCGCGGTGGCGGGCGCGCCCAGGCTGTGGCTGTGGCTCGCAGCTGGTCTTGGATGACTCACCTTCAAATCAAACACCTTCTTGTCGCAGATGCTACAGATGTGTGGCAGGTGGAGGGGGGCCACACCATGCAAGTCATTCAGCTCGTGCGCCTGCAAGGGCCGCACGGACAGCACCGCCTGCTCCTCCTTGGCCCGCCGCCGGGCTCCGACGAAACCCGGTTTGCTGTTATTGAGCCGACCCCCAAAGGAAGGAGGGGTCCTGTCTGGGGTGGGCTCCTCGGGGTCATACAGCTCATAGGGCTGGCCGGGGGTTGGAGGCCACAGGCTGGGGGCTGCGGTCAGATCGGGCTTGCTTTGGCCAGAGAATCCGTGGGGGCTCTCCCACTGGCTGTTTGCACCCTGCAGCAGCGGACCTACCTCGCCCTTCAAGCCCCCGGCCGGCTCAGCGGCAAATCCGCCCGCCACCTGCGCCCCTTGGGAGTTGGGTCCGTAGAAGTCCTTGGGGAAGGCAGCTTGGCCATCTTGCCCTGAGTGGCTGTAGTGCCCTTCATAGGTCACGCTGCCCGAGGTAGAGGCCGAGGATGGCAGGAAGCCGGGCTGCCCGTCGGCTTCAGAGCCGTAGGCCTGGCCGGAGCTGGCTTTGCTGTACTCATAGAAGCCCGCGGCCGCGGCGGCGGGCCCAGTCTTGCCAATGCCCAGGATGACTGCTGGCTGGGCGGGGGTCTGAGGCATGACCCCGCTGAAAGGGTGCATCACCATGGCACTGGGGGGCTGGCTGGGAAGGCTCACAGAGGGCCCTGGGCCTCGTGTCTGGCCAGGGGGGGAGAAGGCAATTGCGTTAGAGGGAAACCGGGCGCTGGGCACGGTCGTGGCGTGCTGGGGCACCCCGGTGTGGCCGTGGGGGGCACTGATCATGGACGGATGCCTCAGCTGGTTGAAGAGAGGCTGGGACATGGCCACTTTGGAGAGGACCTGGTTCAGGACCGTGGCGGCCGCGGTGTTGTTGGTGACAGCTGTCTGTGCCAGCTTCAGCCGGTGGAGGGTGAGCTGAGCTTGCAGCTGAGCCAGTTGGAGGCTAGCGGGCGAAGGAAGCAGCGGGTTCACGTTACTGACCGAGAACGGCGTCTTGTCCAGCAGCTTGGCGGCACTGCAGGGAGACAAAGGTCTAGATGCACAGCTGGTTTCCACCAAAAGGAGCAACGGGCTGTTTGTGTGCCCATCTGTGGCCACCCCACACCCTCGTACAAACAAGACCCTCCAACACAGTCCCCACAGACAATCGAGGCTGCAAAAACCTGTGATTGTATATATCAATTAAACAATTTTTAAAAACTCCAACAGAAAAATTCTTATGTGACATAATGTTCACTCTCACTGGTAACCAAAGGGGTACAAGTTAAACCATTAGAAACAAATATTTGCCTAGTAAAGCAGCAGATATATGCATATATAGAATAAAGTATATATAAAATATCTATATACGTGTATAACGGCACTGTGTGCTGATGAGATTAAAGTGAGTGGACACAAAGTCAATGATAGTCTAAATTCATGCAACTTTGTCAAAAAGCAATACATACTCATTATAGCCATACTCTTTGACCCAATAATTCAGTTCCATAAACCTGTCCTAAGAAAATGAGCTCATGTGCAGACAAAACTTGATCTCCAAAGATGTTTAATAATACTACATTATTTAAGAGTCCGATGTTGAAAGTCACAAATACCTGATAACAGCAGCAGAGGAGTTTGAAAGTGAGTAAATTATGATACATTTACAGGATGTAATGTTAGGTAACTGTTTGCTACTGATGGATAAGTTTCTACTTTATTATGCAATATTTAAGGCCTTCAAAACAGTGTACCCATCACCAAGCTTAAGGTAGAAAACATTCCACCACACCATATTGCCCTTGGGGATCTGTTGTCCCCATCCTCACTCCACCCTCATCATTAGTGGTAGACATCACCTTGAATTTGGTAAGGCCATTGTTCACAAAGAAAAAGAATAGTGACATGAGAAAAATCCATATGCTAATATTAAGTGAAGTAGGCTTCAAAACTGTATACAGAATTAGTTGTGTATATTTACACCAAACACATTTCCCCCCTTGTCCTCATTTCACACCCAAAAGCAAGAATCATGCTCCCTTCAGTCCATCTTCAAACCCAACTAACATTAAGGAAGAATCTGAACTTGAGATCGGAGGCAGTGGTGGGCTCTCACAGAATCATACAGCAGGGGTCTTCTGTCTGCCGCGTGCCTTTTCTGTGACCTTTGTTGGTAGGTGACGGTGTTTACTGGACCAAAAATCAGCACCCAGGGTCTAGAAAGGGGACAGACTTCCCCAGAAAATCTAGGATATGTGGTTACCATTGTCAGGGCTCTTTTGTAAGACCCCCTATTTTCTGATCTTCAACTCCCCTTCTCGGAAGTGGGTGCTATCAGGAAATGTGTTCCGGATGTTGATGAACTGGAGTTCCCAGGACATTGTAATGGGAAGGATGGGACTGTGCAATTGAGATTGGGATTACCTTGGACAACCCAGGCTGCACGTTCACCGTGCTGACAGAAGTGTGGGGTAGAAAGTGCGAGGCTGGGACACTTTAGGCGAGGTGTCCACTGACAAGGCTCTGTACAGTAAAAGCCTGATGATGATGAGACAAAGGAGAAAAGCCAGGGGGTAGGCATGGGCGAGGACGAAAGGGAAGTGTGTGGCATGTCATACCTCTCCCACTCCGGAGACACTTGGAGGAAAGTTGGCTGGTGCATTGCATTGGTCCGAGAGAATGAGGGGAGGCAGGTGGGGAGGAAGGTGAGTGGGAGAGAGTCTCACATTTACTGTGACACAGTGCTTCACTTATGATACTCCTTGGATCTCTCCGTTAGTCCAGTGGGGTAGGTAAATTCACCCCAATTTTGCAGGGCAAGAATCTAATACTCAGAGATCAGGTGACCTACTTAACAAATACCCACTGTACAGAGCAGTCAAACCCCAGCCAGACTTTACAAAGCAGAGAAAATGCACAGGTGGCTACGTACGCAGCTCCTCAGCCCTCTCTGAGGATGTCTTTGTGGGTTTCTTCATGGTTTAGTCTGAAGGAGTTATCAGAACATGAGGCACAGACATGTTCAAATACAAGTGCAAAACACATTTCAGAGTCAGACAAAAATAACTTTGGGTTACTTTTTCTCATTCTGTGAGAAATTAAGAATTTGCTCTAAGTCATTGAAGAGATGGGTTTTGCACCCCAGCCCTGCTGTGCTCCAAGGACAGACAGGACAACTGCATTTTAAGATGGAGGCTGAGGGGGGTCAAGGTGAAAGGTGGTGACAGACCTTTTCTCCCTGGTTGCAGCCAAGCCTTGGTGGCCCCGGCGTGGCCCAGGCAAAAATCATGGCAGGAGCAGAGTGGGGGAGGCGCTAATTGTCCATGTAGGTGAGAATAGGAAAGAAAGAGGAGGACGGGTCAAGAGTCTGGTGATAGATTCCTACTCGTGTAGTATTAAGTGGCTGAGCTTCAGAAGAGCAATTAAGCTTAATTCAAAACCCTGCCCACACAGGGCCAACCCCTCCTACCAGGTTTGTCCCCTACTCAGCCTGCCCTTGCTAACAAGGTGATAACGAGGTGCCAACCTGGTTTCCATGACTCGAGTAAGACAAAGTTGGTTTGTTTTTCCCAGAGAAGTCGGCTGTATTTTCTAAAACTGTGTTCTGGGCATGAGCGAGCTCTTGCAGGAGAGTCCTCTTTGCCTCTGAAAGGACACGCGAGGAAGAAGCTGTCTTTCCAAAGAGGAGAGCCAACATCAAAGGGTGTTTGCAGGTCAGCTATGGGGAATGAGGATGGCCCAGGTTACAGAAATTTACTCATTCACATGCAGCACGAATTGAGCAGACTGATTAGATTTTCTTCCTAACGTCCACTCCACCCCGCAAATTCCTACTGACCCCAACTTGAGTCAAAGTTGAGTCAACCTTGAGTAGAAGGGCCTTAAATTCTTAGCCTATCAGAGTTAATAACTTAAAATTCAGGCGCATATAACAATCATATTTCTCAGCCAAAAACTGGCAGGCATGACACCTAAAGGATAGAACTGATGTCCACCCTTCTGTCTTCCCACCATTAAGGTCTGTCACTGTTACATCACTGCCTTGTATTGAAAATAATTGTTCATGTGCCCTTCTTCAACCACGAGACATAGGCTCCACCAGGGAAGGGAGCATGTCTTGGAGATTCTCATATTTTCCTGGCGCTCTGCCTCACACTTGGTGAGCATGCAGTAACCACCATAAACAGAATGAAGAAGGAAGATAATGGACCAATTATAGGAAGGAAAATCTAAACATACCCAGAAAGCAAGTGGATTTTGCTGTTGAATTCACCTTAAACTTCAATCAGGCACAGACTCACTGCCTAGGGGACCGTCTAAAATTCCCCATTCCAAAGCAGTTCTCTCCCCGAGCAAGTCTAGGTTTTGAAATCAAATGGATAATCCCTGTGGTAGACTGAAAAATGACCTCCCCCGAAAGATCTCCACATCTTAATCCCCAGAATCTGTAAATCTTAAATAACATGGTAAAGGGGACTGTGCAGATGTAATTAAATTAAGGATCTTGAGATGGAGAGATTATCCTGGATTATCTGAGTAGTCTCAATGTAATCATAAGAGTCCTTATAAAACAGAGGCAGGAGAATCAGAGCCAGAGAGACAAGACACAAGGATGGAAGCAGAGTTAGAGAGGAGAGAAGATGCTATGCTGCTGGCTTTGAAGATGGAGGAAAGGGCCATGAGCCAAGGAAATGCAAATGGTTTCTAGAAACTGGAAAAGGCAAGGAAGCAACATTTCCCCCAGAGCCTCCAGAAGGAACCAACCCTGCTGACACCTTGACTTTGGCCGTCAGTCTGTGAGACTGGCTTTGGACTTCTGATCCCTAGAATAGTAAGAAATCTGCGTTGTTGTAAGCTACTAAATTTGTCATAATATGTTACAAAAGCAATAGAAGACTAATACAATCTACCAAGAAAATTAGACGCAAAAAACGCTTCCACTCAGAGAGGCAGCAGTGGGTGTGGGGACATTAGCTGGATCTGGCCCAGGATCTAAAGACCCTCTGGGAATTTAGCCAGGAGCCAGAAAACCCCAGAGGTTTCTTCCTTTTCCAAGTCAGATTTCTCTAACCAGCTGGAGCAATGGCAACCTGGGAAAGCTGAGACTGCAGACCCTTAGGGAGCATCTCATCCTCCCCCTCATCAACAAAGAAAGTGACTTGCCCAAAGCCACCTAGTTGGGTGATGGCAAAACCTTCATGAGAACCCACATCTTTCACACCAGCTTCTTGCGCCTGGCAGAACAGCCCTGCCACCAAAAGCTCTAAGTTCCAGAACTACCTATTTCATCATCAAATTATCATTTCTACCCACATTTATCTGTGGTCCTCCCCTCTGTTCAGAGAGATACTGACCACCTTCCATATGCAAGGCATCGCTGAGCACTGGCGCCATGCAAAGAGGCAGGCCCTTTCTGGAACCCCTGTCAGCTCCAGTGTTGATAGCTCCCTTGTCTGGGGAGCAGGTAGGTGGCACGGTTCTATGCCACACCCTCTCTTCTCCTAAATCTTGTGTGGCAGCCCTGTTTGCCGAGGTCAAACCTCAGATCTGGGGAGGAGGGAGAACAGCACAGTCAGGCACAGAACCCGGGTATGTGGTGCAGAACTAGAAGACCCACCGCACAGCCCCATGGAGGGCTGGTCCGCATTCCCAGAAGAAACAGCACAGCCACTCTGATTCATCCAGGCCTCACAAGGCTGACTGCCCCCAGGGCTGAGGTTTCCTTTCCGAGGTATTAACTGTTACCAAGAATTCACAGCGCATAATTACATTAAAAACTTGGGTTCCCTACTCACTTAGAAAGTTTTCTTTTCTTTCTTTTTTTTTTTTTTCAATTAAGGCAGCATTTCTCTGAAGAGTTTTCAAAATAAAATACAATATAAAGGAGAACGGGTTGCCTTTATAATGCCGGGAGATTTAGGAGATCCAGATGAAAACTGTTTCTAATGGTTTAATTCCATAGTGTCGAAAGGATATGCAACATATTGCATCCACTGGGACAGCCAACAGCTGTCCTGGCTTGACAACGCTCACTAT